CTGTCGGGAAATGGGACATCCTCCAGGTGTTCATGAGAACACTGAAATCATAAGGCTGCACCGCGGTTGGATCATTCCTCCATCATCTGACTTCTTTAACACTGATCCACAGAGGAACAGAAATACTGTGATTTTAACTTGGAGTCACTAGAGTGGATAGGATCACACAAGAGCAGATCAGTTGGACAGTTAAGGTTGATCAGTTGGAGAGGCAAGATGGACATGGTCTGGACAAGGGACGTTTATAAAGGAGTTGGAAAAGAAGAAGAAGATTTCTGGATGTTGTAAGAGAGGAGTAGAGTAGAGGAGACGGGGACGTTTGATTAGATGGAGGAAGATAATATGCTGTGATGACCCCTGATGTTGATCATCTGAAACAACAAGTAGAGAGGAGAGGAGACAGGGACGTTTGATTAGATGGACGAAGATAATCTGCTGTGATGTTGATCATCTGAAACAACAAGTACTGTAGAAGAAGCTGCTGCTCATTTTAAACCTGGGGGTGAGCTCACCACCAGAGCGTTTTCTGATTGGACCCAAATTTATTCTGATCCGAGACCCACAGCTGGTATCATTTAGTACTATCTTTAGACTAAAGAAGGACAAGCAGTCCTGAAAGTGCTAATATGGCTCCCAGAGGGCCCTGATCTGGACATCACCGAGGGTGTTTGGAATTACATAGAAATGTGAAGATCTGAGTCAACATATCACAAGACTGTGTACCTGGAAATGCTGGTGACTTCTTCAGCTGATTTGAATGAGACCTGTCTCACTTTTCTCATATTATAAAAAGACACAGCATTAAAGACCACTGTATGATTTATGCCTCAAACCAGAGTACTTGTTGTAGTACTTCATGTTCTGCCAATAACAGAGTATTTAATTGAATCCTAATGGGTCTTTATTGTTTTACAGGAAACATTTAATATGTACTACTATGAGTCTGACAGACCAGTGGGCTCCACGATACGGGAGAACCATTTCATTAAGATTGACACCATTGCAGCGGATGAGAGCTTCACAGGGGTGGACCTGGGAGTACGCCGGCTTAAACTCAACACCGAGGTATTTTCTACTACATTTAATACAGAATTTAGGCTCATAGGCTCGAAAAGCAATATCTGTCAGGTAAATATACCTACTACACTTACAATACCTATTACAGAGGGCATAGAGCAGCATGGAGTTATGAGCCTCGTTTCTTTCCCATTGAATTTATTAAAGTCACTGAGTGATTTACATGCTCACATTATTGGTGCTGAGCCCCAGACTTTTACCAAAAGCCAATGAGCCTGATTCATATATGTAGGAGATTTCAGCGAGGAAACTGCTGGATGTTAGCCTGCTGTTCAAAACAGGCAGCTGCTGTAAACAACTTTTTTTTTTTAATAATGCAGTCAATCATTGCCTTGATGTTTACAAAATTGTCTACTGTGTTATAATCTTTCACAAAATATATGAATGACATGACACGATAATAACCAACATTTGTTCACTTTTCCAGTTGCTAGCTAACTGTCTGATTGTTTATGAGTGACATCACAGTGACATCACAGTGACATCACAGTGACATCACAGTCTGCTCTCATCATAAATTCCACTCGGTTTCTTTGTTTACCATCTTTTTAGCCTGTTACAGTTGTATGTTATATGTAATCAATATAATTTTAAATATATTTAACACAATGGACGAGGGCTCACTGTTGTTTTGTCGTGTCACGTGTCAGATCTTAAAGCGCTCGCTGTTGTCTTCCTGCAGATACGTGGTGTGGGCCCGTTGAACAAGCGAGGTTTTTACCTGGCCTTCCAAGACATCGGCGCCTGCATCGCTCTCACTTCCATCCGGGTGTACTACAAACGCTGCGTGGGCGTGAGCCGTAACCTGGCTGTGTTCACTGACGTGGTCACCGGTGCCGACTCTTCCTCACTAGTGGAGGTCAGAGGGCAGTGTGTGGACCATGCTGAAGAAAGAGACACGCCCAAGATGTACTGCAGCGCAGAGGGAGAGTGGCTGGTCCCTATTGGGAGGTGTGTGTGCTCGGCTGGATTTGAAGAGCACAGAGACTCGTGCGTGGGTGAGTTGACTGTGGGGTATTTCTGGGCTCTTCAGCTTTGAACTATGGGGCTTTTCATGTTTTTGATTAGGATGAATTGGAAAAAAGCTAAATGTGAAACAAACAAAGGAGCAGACATATTTACATCCAACTGAATGTAATATTTATTTGTCATTAAACAAAACTCTGAACTAAAGTTTTTAAACCAAGTTTCAATACAACTTCAACAACTTCAGCCCCATTCTGTTCTTCCGTTATTGACCTCTCATCTGCTAAAACATAGATAATATGTATTTTGAAGCTCCAACAGCTGAAGATGGAGCCAGGGTGTCAGTCCCACAGCTGCAGCCCTGCTTCAATAATATCTACGCTAGAACGCAAGAAACACTCACAGTAGGCGCTGAAAGAACTCACTGAAGGGCTGTGTGTGTGTGTGAAGGGACGGAGGGAGAGGAGAATAGGTGCAAACTTGACGTCCATATATTATTTTAACACAAAATTAACAGCAGTAAATCAATACAAGAAATATTGTCCCAGGTTATATATATCCATATATATATTAAAATATCAAGATATCACCAAGCCCTTCTATATATATGTATATATATATATATTTTATTACACACAGAGTTTATATGTACAATGTACACAAATGTACAGTATATCAGCCACAGGTATATTGATAGAGACATATATTTATATCTACACACAGGTAACTTCTTGTTTCTTTCAATCTTTCAAAAAGATCCTTATTTTCTCTGCTGTCCTTCATAAACTATTAGGTTTAGACTGGTTCACTCTGCTAATTCACCCTAACCAAATGAGCCCCAGTCACGATGTCACGAGACCAAACAAGACAAAGAGAGGGTCGGGCACGGGACAGTAAGAAGAAGAAGACAGCTTGAGCCAAGGGATGGGAGAGAATAAGACATGAATGTAAATGGGAGTAGGTGCAGACCTTTGCCTCAATGCACGGAATGGTCATGTATGTGTGTATGTGTGTGTGTGTGTGTGTGTGTGTGTGTAGGAGTGCTCATGGTTGCGTGACATGCTGTTAAAAAGGTCAGGAGTGGAAGGCAATGAAAGATGGAGACAGAGTGAGAGGACTGGAGTGGTTGACTGAATACCTCGTCAACTCAAGTTTATATCAAAACACTGAGTGCATGTGTGACTGTGTGCGCTTGTGTGTGTGTGTGTGTGTGTGTGTTTACAATAGCACAAAGAATGTATTGGCTTGACTCTAAAGAAGGAGCTCAAATGCCGTGCACAGTGAGAACAATCGAAGACACACTGATAGGAGATACAAACACTTTTGCAGGTCACATTTATTCAGCTCAGCCGGTTCATCCAGCCCTCTCTCTCTCTCTCTCCCCCTTTCACTCTCACACACACACTCACACACACACACACTTAATATCTGGTCTCAACCACCGCGTGGCTTCTGTCGGCGGTGTCACAGCTGTAATGTTGAAAGACTCAGACACCTGCTCCACCTTTTGTCCAGGCCAAGAGTTAATTACTAATTTAACTATTAATATATATATATATATATAATGTGTATATATATATATTTATATATATATATACAAGTAATATATATATATACACATATATATATATATATATATATATATATATATATCTTGAAAGCAAAGATCCACCTCATCTCAATTTTGAAAACCAAATTTGGGTTTTTGTTTTCAAAAAATAAAAATAAGACCGAGGTGCGACAAGTAGGCTGAGTGTGTCTCAGCTGCTGGTGGAAACAGGTACCGACCCTGATGGAACCTGTAGGGGACAGCGTCAGCAAGAGAGAAACAAAAGCATGAAAACAGCTTCAAACTTAAAACTTCTCTTGGAAAAGGAGAGACATGGTGGACGATGTCCCATTTCCGCTGCTGATCTTGCTGACACATTCATCTATCATTTGTACAGTTTCAGCGGTTAGTTAAGGGCTTCATGTTATCCCTGGGGACCCAGCAGAGGAGCCTTGAGCTAGCTCTGTCACTAAATGATGGCGATTGCACACTTTCTTCACAAGGTCAACGCCTCCCCAGGTCTAGGACACTGGTTGTGTGGCTGAGTGTGGCGTTAAACTGGTTTGTGATGATTACATTCATCAACAGCTACAGCTAACAGCTCAGGTAATAATATTGATCCGTGCAGAATGACTCTGTCATTTTTTTATTTTTTTGTTAAATGTAAGAAGAGTAGCCTTCTGTTTCACTGTTGCATCATGGGAAAAGTGTTAACAAATAGAGTGTGTGATTTTATAGGGTTATTTTTCTCTACTTCTGTAATCTCCCTGTTTGGTTTGTAAAAAGCTTATACTTGTGGTGGATTTTTTTTTTTTTTAACGTTTTGCACACTATGCAAAATGTGAGCTTTCACAAACGCAGCTGAGGTGTATTTAAGACCTGTACGACGCCTTCCTGCTGTCTTCAGATTAAAGCCCTGTTTTTATTTACCTTCTTGTACAAGGAATGAAACAAGATTCATTGTAATTCAAATTCTCTCGCAGCACATCGGCTCCATTGACAGGTACTGACACGAGAGGCAACTCAGGCAAATGCACAAGAGGTCGCACACACACACGTAGACATTTTTCCGCTTTAAATTACAGATTTCTCACAAAAGGCACTTATACCGTACGGTTATCTGGAAGTCTACACGTGTAGAATTCTTTAGTCTTCTTACTTCAGCAAAATCTGCCGTGGTTGATCGTTTTTCCGACATGCAAATGAATATTTTCCCATCCTCTAAATGTTCTTGGAATGTTGTGAGATGTCCTTCTTGTTTTATAAGCAATTTATTTAGTTTGTCATTTTCCATGTGGTGAGCTAAAATATTGTGAAACTGGGATCAACTGATAAATGATCAGGTGGAATAGATTTCACTGTGGTAAAAAATATGTCAGTACAGTCATTGTGGGTCATCTTTAAAAAATGAAGCAAATAATAGGAAACAAAAATATGATATAAATATAATAATATAATAATTGTATAATAATAATAATATCATTTAATGTGCATTTGGCCTACATGTTATATACATGTGTGTAATTGTCAGGGTTTATTTGAGCCACAACAGGATCCTGCACCTGTCGTCTTAGATCTGCCACCTACGTGTCACAATGAAAAAAAAAAGAAAAAAGTCTCCGGAACCACCCGTTCTCTGTGTTCCTGGATTTATAACTTTACAAATACAATAACACTTACACACAATTTTATTTATGTAGCCCAAATTCACAACACACATTTGTGTTTGACACATTTGAAATGAAAATATCCTCCTGAAAACCCCACACAACAGGACAAATACGTCTATATTGATATACTGTAGATACAGTCAGTGTTACACTGAGATTATGGTAACAACATAAAGTAAAGTAGAATAAGCATCACACATAATAAAATCCAAATAAATCCCTCACTGAGCAAACATTCTGCATATGCAACGTTTAACAGGAAGATGAACAGATCCAGACTCAGAGTGTCGCCGTCTGCCTCGGCAAAGAGTAGATGGGGAAAATTGGCGAGACAGCAGAGGGAAAAGAAAAAAGACGAGGCTAGAAAGAGAGGACAGGAGTAAACATACAACACTATAATATACAGATTACAGTCGGAGAGACTGTTACAGGCAGAGAATAAACCCCAGAGCCTTAGCTGTAAGTCTGTCATTCTGATTCCACCAGTGGAAACATTGGGCTGAATTTCTTCTGTCACACACTTGTTTCAGGGAATAATGGTCTGTGTCTATAAGGTCCTATGTAAACAATAGTAAATAATTATTTACCTCAGTGGTTCTCAAACTGTGGTACATGTACCACAAGTGGTACGCAGGCGCTCTCTAGTGTTTTCTCAGGTGGTACAGAGTAGAAAAAGTTGGAGAACCACTGATTTACGTGATATAAAAAGTCAAACAGATATAGTAATCTGAGCCCCTGATAGTTTTGATATTCTCCATATGTTTGTATAACATGGACATTAAGTCAATCAGTTGGTTTACCGATCTTCTCAAACAGCTCAAACTGCATCAGCAGTACTGTAGAAAACATTATGTTTGTTTTTTTTATAGTGGTTATCCAATATTACGTGTCTTTTCTTTAACATCTTTGTTTATCATGAACCAAAAACCCTTTACATTTTTAATAAATATAAATAAAAACTTTATCTCAAGACATCGACACTGTTGAAAAGCCTAACTATAAGGAACGGCACCATATGTATATGCACATCGACACTGTTGAAAAGCCTATAAGGAACGGCACCATATGTATATGTTTGTGTCTGCTGTTGCCGTCTGAGTCTATATGAGGTTAAACCCTGGCCCATTTACCAGAGCCAGAGCCAGAGCCTGTTAACAGGGCTGAAAGAGAATATATTTATCAGAGCCTCTCCATTATTAATCAGTGCAGAGTTAAAAGTGAATGTATATTGAAGAAGCTGAATAGGGTTGAAACACAGTCTGGATTCTGAAGGTCTCACAGGGAGTATCAACAGTGCACAGCCTTTTCAGCCAAATCTGACTAGAAATGAGTGCTTTCATCTGCTCTGCTCCTCAGTCTCTGAGGTTTCAGCCCTGTAATTATACATTCATTTGGTAAAGATAACCTAGATTTGCGAAAAGCGCGGCAGTATGAAATGCACAGGTTACCATCGGGTGTGATTGCGTGTCCGTGCTTGTTCTTAATAAGAGCTTCTTATTAACCTAATTAGTGGGACTACTCAGACCTCACCTGAAAACTGGATTTCTTCAGTTTCTCTCTCTCTCTCTCTCTCTTCTCTGCAGCCTGTGAGGTTGGTTTCTATAAGCCCAGTGCAGGTGATGGTCTGTGTGGTAAATGTCCCCAGCACAGCCACTCAGAAACCAGAGCCGCCCTTTCCTGCCCCTGTGACTCCAATTACTACAGAACGGCAGAAGACACAGCAGCAGCTCCATGCTCCCGTAAGCAAACGCATGCAACACAAGATCACCTAATACCACAGGCAAGAACACTTCGAAGTAGTCCAAAGGCATGTATAAACAAACACACTCGCTCAACCCACAGCAGCTAATTAATGTGCAATGTTTTATTGTGTATGTGCTAAACTTATCCAAGCCTGAAGAATACAATTTACACTGTCAGACATTACTCCAATCTCTGCTCAAACGGCCATCTTCATTTTCTCCAGGCCCTCCATCTGCTCCTGTAAATGTCATTTCCTCGGTCAATGGGACATCTGTGAACTTAGAATGGGATCGTCCTCTGGATACTGGAGGTCGCAGTGACCTGCAGTACAGTGTTTTTTGTCAAAAATGCTCTAGGGAAGGAGGGCCCTGTGAGGACTGCACATCCTCCCCAGGAGCCACAAGTGGAGGAAAGGCTGGTGGAGCGGCGAGTATTGGGGCAGGTGGAGGAGCAATAGTGGAACGTTCAGGCACTGCAGCAGTTAAATTTATACCTCGACAGAGTGGGCTGACAGAGCCTTGGGTGACGGTGCTCAACCTAGTGGCCCACACCAACTACTCATTCCGCATCATGGCAATAAATGCAGTGACGCACCTGAGCAATGAAGTGTCACCATATGTTACAGTCAACATCACAACTAATCAGGCAGGTGAGTTTCAAAGCATGCATGTTCATTTACGACAGGACGGAGACGTGTGGCTGTCCCTGGGCTCGCCGTCCTCGTAGCACTTTTTAAAAATCCCATGTGAATAAGAGTATTGTGGTTTGTGATCTGGCCAATACCAGAGCCACTGTCAACAGTCTGTGATGTCGGGTTTCAATAAATATGCAATGAACTGGAAAGCTGTGTTATGTAGATGACACAGCTCTGTGGGTAATGGGGTTATGGGCCTGTGTGTGGAGCTCCACTCAGACCACAGTCAAGACGTCAAGCAGGAAAATGCTCACAGCCATTCTCTCTCTCTCTCTCTCTCTCTTTTTACCATTAAGGCTATTTAAATCTAAAACGAAGCAGATTGTTTTGTATCAAATAACAATTCTTCAACTAAAACTGTTGTCTCATTAGTTTTCAATTTTTTTTCTAAAACACTAATGAAGGAAAAAATAAATTATATTAACAACAAAGACACAACAATTCACTCTGTTCAACACAACCAACTGAAAATACATTCTAGTTGTTTAGTTTACATTTTTCAACAACTTTCACAGAAGTCTAAAGTGTGAAGCACTTTTTCTACATTTCTATAAACAAATTGACACTAAAAAGCACCAGAGGTGACTGAGGTGTGAACGCCTCGTGTGTCTACAGTGACGTCAGACTTAGAAAAGACGTGTTGTTGTGTCCAGAGCTACAAAACCTGTCGTTGTCTGTAGAAGTGGTAATCTATGACATCACCACCTGTCATTTAAGACTTTCAAATGTCATCTGAAAAATTCAATTCAATTCAATTAAAAAATATTTTGTTTTGTTGTTGTTCTATGCAATTTTAACAAAAAAGTAATTAACAGAACAGAATTTGCTCTGGTTTTTAGACAGGCAGCCAGCTGGACAGCTGACTGTGAGCTGCAGATGAATGGGTCACATGAGTGGACATGAGGGCAGAATTACAATGTTATTGTTGTCTTTCTCTCTCTCTCTCACACACACACACACACACACATTTAGAATCACACTTAATCATCTTGTATTCCTGTATATATGTTTATATTCATATATTCAATAACTGAATTTGTCTATTAAAAAACACAAGCTGCTACATTTAATGATTAACTTGATTACTGTGGAAATATTTAAAATTCAGCAAGGGTTTTTTTCATCTCCTTTTCTGTCAATGTCTTTATTGTAACTTAAAAAAAACATATTTTGACCAGTTAGTCACTTTCCATATGAGCAGCACTGTCCTGTTATATTTAAACTGTGAATCAAGAGTGGATCAGCGATGGATCAGTCTCTGACAACAATTACATTCTAAAAATAAACCTGCTGAATAAATAAAACTGAAGAACACCACAATTAGATACAGTAGAACAAAACATGTGGCTGGTATTCCAACATTCAGTGGTGAAACTCTGAGCACAGTATTTACATATTGTGTCAAATCAGACATGAAGTCCTCCATGCAATGGAAAATATTTTCTTCTTATTTAAGTGACATGGTATTGCTGCTGGCCAACTCCCACATTATTTTGTATTTGTGCATCAGGCCTTTGCGGATGATCACACATCCTTCTCTCGTTCCTGGTCCCCTGTCAGTTTACTGTCAAAAACACAGTCTTCGAACTACAGTATTTGCTGTCTCAACAGCATGTGCTGAAAATGAAAACACATCAGTTTTTTCTCCCATGTGGACTGGACAGAACAGCTGCCATTGTCATGTACACTGGAAACTCCCAGCACCTACAGTATGAGCTCCATACTGACCAAAGAAGTCCACGTTCATTTACATTCTAAATTCTGACCGTTTGGATTTGAAATCTTAACTATGTATAAATATATAAGGCAGGAAATGTTTAAAATATGACTAAAAAATAGTAAAATTGACGAGTAAATCAGCAACGTTATTGGCCAATCAGCTATGGTAGAACCCCACACTGACAATCACTGACGTATTTTGGACAAAGATCAATAGGTCAAGTAAATGAGACGCAAAACTGCAGGGTTTTTTATGTTAGCTCATTTGATCATTACATGTTAACAAATCGAAGGCCTTCTTCTCTTTCCTCGCAGCTCCTTCTGAAGTGTTAGCTCTTCGCCAGGAAAACACCAGTCAGAACAGTGTGACTCTCCTATGGCACGAACCCAACCAGCCTAACGGAGTCATCCTGGAGTACGACGTCAAATTCTATGAAAAGGTAACTCGTTTCTTCATCTACAGGTGTCGTTTGTTGAATTACAGACTGCAGCTGAAAATGTCGATTTAATCACCTGTCCACTGTTATGTTGTTGGAGGAGTGACTGGGGAGGGCTCATTAATGCAGAGGCCATTTACTCTGTTTTACTGCTATATTAGTTTGTGTTTTTCATTAGTTATTGAAATGGTTAATACTCTACCATCTGCTCTTGTCACGTCTACATTCATTCACTCCAAATCATTTGTGTGTTTTTCTGACCCTGCTGCATCAGTCCCAGACACCGTGTTTGCTGATTCTAAATAAATCTCAAAAGTTGTGTTGCCGAGTTTTCAGATTTTTGTTTTTGTTTGTTTGTTTATTTTGTGAGATTGCTACTATAGCTCCTCACCTACCAAAGAGTCATTGATAAAACCTTGGGAGTGAGCAGCCGTACAGGGAGCCATTCAGACAAACACCCACAGAGAGTTTTAAAGGAGGATTTTTTTTCCTTCTGATTTTTAATCTACCACACTGAGGGAGTGCTTTGTTTTGTGCATTTGTTGGGTTTCTGTTGCTAAACAATCACTGAGCCGCAACCACAGGGGCAGCTTTAGCAGATTAGCTGAAGAGAAGAGTTGATAATGAAGTTATCCTCTGATCCTGCTGTTAAAGTTCTTTGACTTCTAAACTTAGAGAGTGTCTTAATTTTTGAAGAGGGAAAGAAACAAGATTAAACTTGAAATAAAATAATATTAATGAAAATGGAAACCTGATCATTTGACTGAACCTGACTGTTGTTATGAACAAATATTCTGGTGTCTAAAGATTGAAGGATAATAAACCGCTGTTATTGCTGAGTAAAAACATTTGAACTGTGCTGTTAGCTAAGAAAAGAAGAACATTAATACTGGCGTGTGTGGATTCTTTTTAAATTTTTGTTATCACAAGAGACTAGAAGGGTAAATCATTTCTAATACTTTACTAGAGTCTGTTTTACACTCAAGTACTCTTACTAGAGTGTAAAATGTCAGTACTTTGTAGATCTCTGGTCTGGAACCACTATATTTACCTGCAGATGTGAAGCACAGAGTTCGTATTTCCAATTTTCTCACAGCTAATCCTTGAACGTGTCTTGTTTCTCTTACAGGACAACGAAGAGCAGAATTACTCCACTCTGAAATCTAAAAATACAAGTGCCCTGGTGTCTGGGCTGAAGCCGGGCACCAAGTACATCTTTCAGGTCCGAGCCAGAACGTCAGCCGGCTGTGGACGCTTCAGCCAGAATGTGGAGATTCAGACGGGGAAAGCTGGTGTGTGAATTTGTGTGTTTGTGTGCATGTGGATCAACCATAGACAGAGATGTGCGTTTCCCTGCCCCACAGCTGCTGCCAGGTTTTAATAGAGTGGAGGAGAAAAGGCAGAAACAAAAATAGTTTGGAGAGCAAAAAATACTCCTCCAAGCCAGACTGCACAGCGTGGACTAAGTTCAAATGCATTTGGAAACCACTGATCTTCATGTTAACAGTGCTCCATCCTCTGTTGCCCTGATCTACGTTTCCTGCTAAGAAAACAAGAGGACTCCTTACTCCCTAACAGCCGACATGCTGAGAAGTTTATGTAACCATCTTGCGACCAGCATGGTGTGCACATGGTGCCTGGTTGTCTCCAGGCCATGGGAATGCATGCTTAAATTGTCTGTGTGATTGTAGGGTGAGAGTGATGTCCGTTCTCATGCTGAGAGTCAGGAAAGGAGCTCTGGTTTTCAGGTTGAGGGTTTCTAACAGGTCTGTTCTCTAATCTGTCTCACCCCTTTTTCTACCAAAGTAGGTTGAAAATAATTCTTCCGATGTTTACAGTTCGGAAGATACTGCTGTGAAATTGATTTTGTTGATGATCTAAATAAATCCCTGTGAACAGAACTGACGGTGTGTCTGTCCTCCCTGTGTCCGCAGCTCCCCCGCGCCACAACACCATGACCATCGTCTGGATCTGCATGGCCCTCGTTTCTGGCTTGGTTGCTTTTCTGGTTATCTTCATCTGCAGGAAACGGCAAGGCTACACTTTACCACACTACCCATCGCTGCTGTGTGTGGAACACTTTTTTACACTACTCTACCGTGTCTCTTCTTGTGTTGTTTATTTTCCTCTTTCACTCCACTGAAAGAAAGAAATGTTCAAATCTAGTATGACTGAGTAATGACTTGGTCCTAGATTGTAAGAAATTCAAACTTAAGTTGAATTAACGTTTAAAAATCTGCATGTTTTTAAAGTCTGATAAGAACAGTGAGAAGAAGGTTTTTATTTATATGCCAAATATTTGGACATAGTTTTATTTATTTCATGATTGTAATGTGTTTTACTGATATTTTATTTCCTATTACATTTTTTCATAATCAGGGGTTTAAAAAAAAAAGAAGTCCAGGGAACGACTATCAGTTTTAATACGCCATGCAAATAAAATGTCTGAGTCAATTTATTGTAAGTTTCACATTAGCAGCACCTGCAGCAGTTGTTGTTGGTCATTTTATGTGACAGCACCAATTGAATTTTGATTGGCTATGAAGAGAGAGACGGTCTGTCTGCTGAGTAATCACTGTTCATAAATGTTAACCACACACAACACGTTGAATTTAATGTGCTTTTGTTGCCTTTGTGCAGATGGAGAAAATATTTAAATTCAAAAGTAACAAATCACAAAAACATCATGTTTGATCTGAACATCATCGTCAGTGACACGTTCTGAAACCAGAACCAGCAGCGGTGTCTGATACGGGCACTTTAGAAATCCATCTTTACAATTTACAGATTATATAAATCTGTAACAACAAAAATCCAATTATTGACAGTTGCTCTAAACAAACTTTGAATGCATACAGACAATTGTCCAAATATTTGTTGAAGAGGAAATAGACAATATTAGTGTAGTGTTAGACCACTGTGATTTGATGTTTTTTCACGTTCACACATGAGGAGAGTGAAACAGTTGCAGATGCTTTTCCTTTGTGTTGCTGAGTTTAATGTTAGCTCCAGTGGTTGTGACATGTCCCACGGTCTTTGAATGCCCTGAGAGGAGGTGGAGTCGAATGGATAATGTAGAGAAGATAAGGAGTCCTTCTTCATCCCACAGTGGAGAACTTCACAGGGACATAAAAACCCAACTCACCACTTTACCCTCCATAACCTGAGAAATAAAATGTAACACTTTTATTTAGACAATATTTTGGTCGAGTGAACTCTGGCATTAAGGAGTACTTAACACCTTTGTAAACGCAGTGCTGCGTATAATATAAGGAATACTTCTTACTTTGTTCTTCAATTACTTGCAAAAATAGTTTTTTGTAGACCTACGGAGTATACTGTACTTTGACAGTCTATGTTGGAGAGCACCTGGGGCTGAAGACCAACCTGGTCGGGTGTTTGTTTTTAAATAATGCACTCTATTGACAGTAGGTGGTATAGTACAGTATAGGTCATCAGAAATTCCCCTTTCAGGGGTTTTTAAAATTGCGACAGCAGGTCTGTACTGTAGCACTAAGACACAATCAGCCTTTTCATTATGCTGACGCTGCAAAACCAAAAATCTGCTGTTTCCTCACGAAACTGCAGGTGATGAATTATTATCAACAATATATAAATAATAGATGTGCCACTGTAACCGTTTGATAGCTCAGATGTTTATTGTCCTATATTCACCCGGATTTATGTGTGTGCATGTGTGTGTGTTCGGATGGTTGTGTGCATGTGTGTGTCGGTGTGGTTTGTACAGACACTGTGGCTACAGCAAAGCCTTCCAGGACTCGGACGAAGAAAAGATGCATTATCAGAATGGTCATGGTATGTTTGACCCAGTCTTTAATTATTACAAATAATGGGTTGGATCTCATTAAAGTTCATTGACAGGCAAACATTTTTCATCCTGCTGAGTCATTACGCTCCCACATGACTAATACTCCGACCCCCCCGTCTCTCTCTCTCTTCCTCTCCATCTTTCTACAACCTACTTCTTTTCCTCACATTAACCTTTCCTCCACACACCAGTGTTAAAGAATCAGAATCTCTGAAGTTTCCCTGACTGATTATGTTGTTTTTCTGTCCTAGTGTCCTTTCCTGACGGAAGGTTCTACATTGACCCTCACACATACGAAGACCCCTGCCAAGCAGTTCATGAGTTTGCCAGAGAAATTGAAGCTTCCAGGATCAAAATAGAGAAAATTATCGGTTCAGGTATAATCTAGACTCACACATGAACATGGAGCATTTGGCTTCACAGAAAACATGCAAGTCGCTAACTTGAACTGGTGTTTGTTTTAGGGGAATTCGGAGAGGTATGTTATGGGCGTATGAGGCTCCCAGGAAAAAGAGACATCCCCGTGGCTCTGAAGACTCTGAAGGCAGGAAACACGGAGAAACAGAAGAGGGACTTCCTGGCAGAGGCTTCCATTATGGCACAGTTTGACCACCCCAACGTCATTCACCTGGAGGGAGTGGTGACGCAGAGTACGCTTACATTAGAGTTATGTATACACATGCAGTACGATTGGGCTTTATGGCAGAAATTATTCAATATCAGTATCAATATTTCATATTGATTAATATTAATTTATCACAATGACATTATTTACACGTTTATTTGCAGAGTAGTTGTTCAATCGGATGAGAGATAAGGATGATACAACATGATCATGACTGAAATATTCAACATTCACTGCCCATTTCTTCATTTAGTTTGTTTTGTTTTGTTTTTTGTTTTTTTTTTTTTGTCCAGGTAAACCAGGGATGATCATCACTGAGTACATGGAGAACGGCTCTCTGGACTCTTTCCTTAGAGTAAGTACTAATACTCCATATATATAGAGTTTCATATTCATTCAGTAAGATTTATTGCAGTATTACATTTAAAAATAATTTGCTCTTGAATTCTGAAGTGAGTTACTGTTCAGTTACTCTGATTGGTCAGAGCTGTGTCTACCTTGGACTTTGTCCATGTCAAGGACTGGTTATGGTGAAATTAATGTCAAATTTTACACAACAAATTTCGTTTTTTTACATGTTATTTGAGCGAGTTAGCGAAGCTGTGTCCTCCAGACTCACGACTCACTCTTTGTGTCCTGCCTTGCAAGCAGAGAGCAGAGAGTCCTGGGTTCGATTCCCAGAGGAGCCTCATGTCCCTAATGGCGCCTCCCATGGCAGCCTGTAACGTTTGCAGGGACTCACACTGTAAATGTCCCCCGTTGTTGGACAAATAACGGAGTCAATTATTTTAATTATTAACCACATAAACAACAGCATATCTCATCTTTGTTGTCTTTTCCGTGTTTGTCTTGGCACGGATGTTACACCCACCTGAAGTCAACCCTGACTCTCCTCGAGAGCCGGGAATACTGAGGACACAAACAATATCTTTTATGATTTATGTTAAAATTAACACAAACAAGATACCTTTGGTCAGAAACCAAAGGTATCTTGTTTGTGTTTTTTCTGTACAAAACACTCTGATAAAACATCTTGGAGTATAACCTTGACTCATGTCATGTTGAATCACTTCATCTTCCCTTTTTATATATTTTTCAACAGTTTTTCTCCTTCCAAATCTCCCTCTGTCCTTCCTTCCTTTTCTAATGTAGAGACACGATGGCCAGTTCACCATCATCCAGCTCGTAGGGTTGCTGCGTGGCATTGCAGCTGGAATGACCTACCTGTCTGACCTGGGCTACATCCACAGAGACCTGGCAGCTCGCAACATCCTGGTGAACAGCAACATGGTGTGTAAGGTGTCAGACTTTGGCCTGTCCCGGGTGTTAGAGGAGGACCCTGATGCTGCCTACACCACCAGTGTAAGTTTTGACAGGGCAGCTTCAAACACATGTGCACACATTTAAATTCATGTGCAGTCACTAAAGGGGTGACTACCCTAGGCTAGAGGGAATTTGTCTCATTAAAATGGTGGCTCATACAAAAGGAGCTGACGACAACAGAGGAATTCACTGCACTGAGTCGAGTGGATCGGAAAAAAAAGAGAAGTAAAAGTGTAGTAAAAAAATCTATTGATAACTACACTCACCTACGCCAACACAGTGGTGACATCATAACCATAAAACATCAGAAGAGTCTGACTTTGGGAGCCATAATGAAGGGCAACAAGTTCCCAGAAAAAACAGCACAAACGACAAAAAAAAGCAAAAAGACAAAGTCGTCTTCTGTGTATTTTTCTTGGGTAAAAAGTTACCTCGTCCTGACAGAAGGCCTTACAGCGCTAAAGTTAGTGGCACTAAATCTACACTCCGACTAATGTCCAGTGACATGTAGAACATTCTGAGAGTCAACATTACATCAAAGTACAACAGGTGTTGTCTCTGTTGTGATCCCAGTGGAGCTGCCCAGATCTGGTCCTGGTGGGTGTCACAGTGAACTGCCCTCAGAGATTATTCAGTTGGTTGGTTTATGTGATCTGGTTTTCGTGAACCTGCATGATTCTTTGATGGATTTGGACTCTACTGAACGCTCTTGTCATTTTTCTGCTTCCATTTTAAATTCTCTCCTTCTGAGACCAAAAACAAATTCCTTGAACCCAGAGACCAGAGTCTTTTTTCTCTCTTCTGCAGTGTTCTTAGCTTATTCTGTGAGGACGCTGATCTCCCTCCTCAAGTTTCGTGTCTTCCTTTCCTTCAAAATATACTGCTTAGTACATGGGGATTTTGTAGGGGTTTTTTTTCTAAGGATTGTCACAGCTCAAAGCGTGCAGATTAAAATGCTGGAATTTCTGCATAACATGATTAGTGGAACAACCAACAGGCCCTGTTTGTGTGTATGAGTTCTATGAAAAAACATGTCTTTAAATGTCAGTGTGTGTATATATTTATTATGCTTAGTTTTATCAACCGTTGGAAACATGCTGAAATTATTCTTAATGATATCAGTCTGAATCACTCTTCTAAAGCTCGTGAGTAAAGACAAACTAATGTGTGGATTGAAAAAAAAAAAAAAAATATATTTATATATATATATTTATATATAATCTGCATCAGGAAGGGAGAGTCTAGGAAGAGACAGTTTTAAGTTGCTTTATGGGAAGGACACTACACCTGGAACTTGACCCCATGGAACAGTCGTTATCTCTGGCCCTGTCTTGTCCTCTCTGCTTCTTCTTGTTTGCCTTTGTTTGTGTAAATGCAATACTGAATCAATGGACTTTAATTACACTTTTCAGGACATTTTGAGTCTGATTTTGTAAGAATTTAAAGAATTATATATATATATATTTTATAACTTTATAACTGATGACTAATCTTATGTCACACTTTGAAACAGTCAATGTCTGACTGATGACTAATTTTGTGTCACACTTTGAAACAGTCAATGTCTGAGGAACCTTTTTTCCGACCAGAGACATCATATATTTTGTCGGTGTGATACAGTTTACTGTGATGACATTTGGTTTGGTTTCATTTGTTCCAATTCCATGTTAAAACACTATATTTTTCTATTATTATCGTCACACAGACTATAACTCTTTCCTATCATTCGTGCTCATCCTTTCAGGGTCATGTTGCACTGGAGTTGGTCCCCGCTGACATTTGATAATAGGCAGGTTAAGCTGTAGGGAGGACACCGGTCCACACAGGAGCCGCGTTCACACTAGAACACATCCTCACACATCGTTTCTCTTATTCTATCTGTGGGTCGTGTGCCGTTGGGTGAAGCTGGAGAACGAAAGCCAAGATCACACACAGATACTGGGGGGAAAGAAGCTAATTCAATATTGAAGTTTTGTTGTACAAAATGTATTTATAAACAGTACTATACATCAGTAGTACACGGTATTCTTCTCTGAGAGAGCTGGTAAATATAGAATTACTGATTCCAGTAAGTCTAAATATTGAATTTTGGTTTTTCTACATATTAGAATTAAATATCAAAGATTAGATTTGGTTTATTATATTTCAGACTTAATATTACAACATAAAGTTTGTACCAATACACAAAGGCTTGGACAAATACACCGTTCAATACCGTTGTTATAGCCTGTTGGAGTTAAACACCGTGTCGCTGTCTTCAGCTGTAGATCGTACAGACATCCTGTTGTCACGTCTCCAAGCCTCAGTCAGTAATGTCCAAGGACTGCTGCGGTCCAGCTGCGGCTCATTTAAAAACAGAATGAAGCTGAGAACTGCGTAAAACCAAGTAGTAACAAAGTCACTTTGAGGAACTCGCCAACAAAGACTGAACTAGAGAGACCAAAAATTGGTTTAAATATTGAAAAAAAAGAGCAGGTTGGTTTGTGAGAGTATCCTTCAGATGTTTAAAATAACCCACAGGGAGCACTGTGTTGGTTTTAGCAGTGATGTATCATTTGTCAACCTAATTTAGTGTCAGCTTTATGTCAAAATAAAAAGTGGTCCACAAACCTGCTAACATTTGCAAATCTATTCTTGTCCTTCCTACATCACTGCACTGGATCTCTTTAATTTTAATACGATCTTTCATTAACTTATATTTAACTCGGATACTTCCCTATTCATTACGAATTATTTGCATTTTATATGTATGGTTTGAAATGGTACTTTTTTTCCATTATAAAATCCCTTCAAAGCCACATTAATATCATTAATTTTTTTTAAAGAACAGGCTGGAGTGGTGCAGTGGTGCAGTGGTGCAGTGGTGGGTTGGGTCCAATATCAGCTTGTCCCCAGTCCTAGGTTAGATTCTGTTAGGAAGGTTATTTGGTGTAGAACCTCTAAAACAAAAGTCAGTCCCCCTAAAGCTGTGATCATCAGTTAGTTTCAATAACCTTGAAGTGGAGTCACTTTTCTGATTCTGTTTTTTAAATCATCACAGGGCGGAAAGATCCCGATCCGCTGGACCGCTCCAGAGGCAATCGCCTACAGAAAGTTCTCCTCGTCAAGTGACGTGTGGAGCTACGGAGTGGTCATGTGGGAGGTGATGTCCTATGGAGAGCGACCATACTGGAACCTTACCAACAGAGATGTGAGGACTGTTCGGTGACTGTTTCTTTTTAAATGAAGGTTCCTTCCCTCGCCGGCTCACCTGCCGTTCTCTGCTGCAGGTGATCAAATCCGTGGAGGAGGGCTACAGGCTACCAGCTCCGATGGGCTGCCCTGCTGCTCTACACACACTCATGCTGGACTGCTGGCAAAAAGATCGAAACGAGAGGCCGCGCTTTTGCCAGATTGTCACCGTTCTCGACAAGCTTATCCGCAACCCAGAGAACCTGAAGTCTATTGACACACTCTGCAGGTAGGTGGAGCACTGACGTGATCTGTACATGAAGGAGAGCCTCTTGGACGAGAGGTGAAATGTCTTAAAAAAAAAAACCATTTTGTCCAGTTGCCCTCGATGTAACTATTTTTGGATTTTGGACACGGACAGATTCTTTAACAACTCTTAACATATTTTCCTGTCCCATTAATTGTGTTTTTGTCCTTCTGCCCATAAAGACCAAACATGTTTGCCGTCCCTCTCTGTTCTGTCAGTCTAAACAGTCCTCCACTGATGGAGAGAGCTATCCCTGACTTCAGCAGCTGCAACTCAGTGGACGAGTGGCTGGACACCATAAAGATGGGTCGCTACAAGGACCATTTTGCAGCAGGAGGGTACCACACTCTGGGGCACATCATAAGCATGAATCAAGGGTGAGAACTGATGGTGATGAGGGGAGGGGGTGGGGGGGGGGTTGGTTCAGGGTTAACAGTTAGCTGCTAATGATGATTTCAGGTTCATCCTTGACACCAGGCTCTGACACGTCTGTATCTCCTCCTCTCTTTGGTCCATGGTCCTACTTATATAAGGAGGGGCATCATTACTGCAGTAGGGTTCACCTTCGTCAGGTGCTGCAGCCTCAACACCCCCTCCCTTACACCTGCGCCCACGGTCTGTGGGACAGTTTTAAGACTGCAGGTTCAAAGTCACCAGTCGTCAGTTGCCACTCAGGTGCACCGACCATGGCACCGCCCCCACTCACTGCTCCCCGGGCGCTCAGCTTGAGCTCGCCCCTGCTGACTAAGGTGGTGGGTTAAAGGCCGAGGACAAATGTCATGGTGGGCGGTGGTGTGCTGTGCTTCAATGACAATAGTTCACTTTGACTTCCAGTGCTTGATTTGTCAGACTCAGACTCAGACTGGGATGTTGGATATAGGTTCATACAGTCAGACTAAGATGGTGCTGATGTGTGGAACGGCTCTCTCTTGGTTGGAGTTTGTTGTGAAAAAATATTTCTTTATTTTATGAAGTTGGTTCTCTTCGTGACTGAGGGGAAAAAAATATAAATAATAAAAATCTTTTAATGAAATATTGAACTTTATTGAGTAAAGGCATCAGAGACTGGAGGATTAAACGTTATATAATTATAGCTTTAAAATATAATATTAGGGTTATATAATGAGAAACTGAAAAGGTCAATAAAAGGTTAATTACTTACAGTATCTACTTACAGTAGAATGAGTCTGGAATAATACTTAGTTCTTAGTTTGTAGGGTTTACGTTTTCCTTAAATTCAAATTCCAATGTTTACCCCATCGGTTACGTTTTTTCTTGTGTTCCACACAGGGACATCCATCGGCTTGGAGTGACTCTAATGGGCCACCAAAAGAAGATCATGACCAGCGTCCAGCTGATGAGAGTGCAGGTCCTCAACAAGAGCGTGCCGTCAGTTCACGTATAATTTTCAGCACTGAGGTTTTCCTCCTACAGTTAAAAAAACAAAACAAAAAAGAAAAAAAACATTTCAAGTCTGGGGGACTCCGTTGTAAATGAGATGACCAGATGAAGCAGAGCTGCAGATGTTCTGAAACTAAAAAGACTTTTTCTCCATGATTAAAGGAAGAGACAGTCGAGGTTTATGAATGGAGCAAGACTTTTTAAGGACATGTCTGACATTTAAATGTTTTGTTTTTTGTTTTTTTTCATCTTTTAATTTTAAATGTCTTGTTTGTAAATTGAATTACTGCCTTATTTACTACTACTAAGTTATTTTGAATCTTTTGCCTGCTGACTAAACAGGGTCATTTCACTGATTGACAGCAGCCTACGTGTGGAGATCATTAAGGTCCAGTGAGTTTGGTCGAGGTATTTAAAAATGTTCTTCAGACACTCTTCTGGCACCGTATGCAAATAGCTCGAGAAAATGACGAACTACAATTAAAAGCTGGTGTAAACATTTAAAAAAAAACAACAAAGTACAGATATTTGGCTCACCTGTGTTGCCAGACTGTCTTCACAGTAGTAGAGAACTGTGTCTCCACAGGACAGTTGACACCACCAATAGGCACAGGTCACCAAGGTCCAGCCCTTGATGCAGAACCTCAGGAGAGCCCTGAAGCCCTCTGCCCTCAGCGCACAACGACGACGCTACCTGGAAGATGCGTAAGTTTTGAATTACAGTGCACTTTATTCTTCATTGTTTAGAGGCTGGAGCTGCGATGCTGGTCTTTTCAAAGGTTTGATAGTTTAAATAAAAAAATATATCAATTTTAAAAAAATGATTAAACCTGTGCTGCATTGCAGTAGCGTTAGCTAACTGTTAGGAGTTTTCTCAAAATTATTTTATTCTAACATTGACATTAAAGAGATAAAATATATTTGCAATACACATTAGGTCTGCATTTCTAGAAAATGGAGCTCTTTCAAACATTCTCCTTGTGGTTCAATAAAGTTGGCTTTTGTCGAGGGAACATAATTAGGGTTTTTATGTTTGTTTGTTGTTTTTTAAAATGTGGCCATACCAACAGCTTATAGCACTTCGCTCAATAATTTATTTAAGCTGGACAGTCATTTGAGCTACATTTTTCTAAGTTTCACAGTTGTTCAGAGATTCTAATTCCTACATCTGTTTCAATTTGAATAATTGAAAAGCATCTCCAGCTTAGAGCACTAAAAATATAATCAGTCTGTGTCTTTGAACAGAGTTTTTCTGGTTAACACAGATACATTAGTGTTGTATGCTGTTCCAGCTCCAAGAAACGAGATGATTTAACCTTCAGGTTCTCAAAGGTCATGAACATTTGAAACTGAGAAAACAAACACAAATAAAAAATCAAATGTATATCTTACAATTGTCAGATTACCAATATACATGGTTTTATTTATTGTATTGCAAAATGAAAAAAATGTAATTTTGGCATTTTTTAAATGTGTATTTTTTTTCCAAACCTAAAATGCATAAGATTGTCCTAACGTCATTGTTATTTTACAGGTAAGGCAGTCAAGTTCTAAATGGTAACTGACTAAATGATGTATTATGATACAGATAAAATGTCATACAAAAACCAAAAACAGGATCGTAAAAACAAAACCTGTCAACTCTCTGATATGACAGTGCCAGTCGCCTCCAAAAGTCTTGGTTGTATTTTTTTTTTCAAATGTAAGCCCTAAATGTAAATCAGTTTTATACAATGTGTTTTATCAACTTTCCAACTAATATGAAAACATCATCCCGTTCATTTCCTTGAGGCGTCAGCTTCCTGTTTTTGCTGGGAGGCAGGGGTTAGAGCTGAGGACCCTGTAAGTCTCTGGGTGTTTACAGAGGACATGATGCAAACACTCATTCATGTATTGGACACTTCCTGTAGGGTTCAACACCGAGTGCGAGTGTTGATTTGCCCTGAGACTCTAAGATGTGACACAAACAATTGTCAACCACTGACCGTTTCATTTGTTAAAAGGGAACTTGAAGACAAACAGCTCCGTCAGTTGGTTTATTCAGGAGCAGCAGATTGTCTGCTGTTATTTTTCCCTCTGTTTTTCTGTATTGATCTTCAGTGAGTTTCTACAGTTGGGCAGCTTTTCTGAATGCAGGTGACAGATGCAGGGTTGGATGAGTGTGGTAAAAACCACAGCACATCCACAGATGCCGGGCTTCAGTGGGGGTGAATGAAGCTGGGCTTCTGAATGATGAGTGGACAAAGTGTTGAAGAGGCACTTTGTAATGATAGGGTTTGGTAGTGACGGCTAAAGACAAACTGACGCCTCTGAAAAAAGACACGCAGCAGGTACGACAGGGTCGCAGAGAACTCTTGGTTAAAAATATGTATAAAATGAGTTACTCCTGTTCCACCAATCAACAACCAGATCGTCTGGTGACCATACAATCAATCCATTCTCTTAGATGACATCATAAAACCAATGGTGCAGATCATGAAAAGGAACCGTCCGTCTTTTGAAGTGAAACGTTTGTATAAACCAGAGCACAATCCTTACCTCAGTGTTAATGAAGGTAAAAACAAAAATGCTCTAAGAATGTTTCATCCTAACACAGTTCTTAATGAAGCCTGATTCCTGTGCCACTAAAAGAAGGTGTTATCTTCATGATGCTTCTTTATTATAAGTGTCATTTTACTATTTTTAGAGGTTTATGGTTTCCTTCGTTGGAAAAACACCCGACATTGACTAAAAATCCATCTTTTACAATGTCAGTTTTTGGTTTTGGTAGATCCGTGGGTTTACAGTGAACACATCAAGTCCAGTCACTGGGAGGGAGAAAAGAGAAAGAAACCTTCAGCTTTAGGCTTTATTCACTCTGGTGTTTATGTTCATTTCTTTTGCAGTCAATGCATCATTCTTGTTGCTAATGATTATTCATAAATGTGACACCTGTCCATAACTACCCAATAAAGGAACCTTTGTCTGTGTCCGACTGCAACAAGGGTTTTTCCTGTAACAGAAGCAGAGTTGACATACGTCGTCATGTTTAATGCATTTTTATAACCAAAGAAATATGAGACCAGGATCATTAGTACTGAATGAGGAACATTACTGAGACCTGATGATGTTAACCACAAAGAGACTGTTTATACTGAGGTTTAGACTGAAGAAATGAGGGATGTTATACAAACGCACAGCAGAAGAAAAAATATTTCAGAAGAACAGAAGTTAGATGAATTGTAAAATATGTAGTTCATATAAAATATGGAATTCAAAATTAAATTATATATATATATAAAAACACATATATATCAATTAAATTAAAAAACCCAGAATAAATAAAATAAAAATACGAAAGACATCAACAAAGTGCAGTGTGAACCCATTAAAATATCACATATAGTTGGTGGAGTCTCTATTTTGTGGGGTAACGAGGACGCCATGTATCAGTTTGGCTCCAAATACAACAACACGTCCTGTTATCAGGTCACTCCACGCTGCTGCTTATCATCAGAAAATATCAACATCCGATTTCTCCTGGCAGAAACAAGATAATCATCATCGCCACGGTACGTGGAGTGTCAGGACCGAATAATTCAGCACAAACAATTAAACAAACTGATGTTTCAAACTATGTTATATTTTACATTTTTATTTTCATGTTTCCACTTCTAATGTGACCAGCGATGTTCTCGCTGTAGAGACAAACATTCTTACAGCCTCCATACAGTGTCAACAAAATCAAAGCAATTTTCACAGACGCCTCACTGTCATCTGTGTTGATCGCTGAGAACAGATGGAGATGTGAGGAGGTTTAGACTGAAGAAATGAGGGATGAAGGGGATGAAGAGGAGTGAGGCAGTTTACCTGGGGGTGACACAGAACGGTAGACCTACCAGAAATGATATACTGTATATAGTAGTGGTAATAAAGTCATGTAATTTGTTATGACTAATATATTATGGAAAATTCATATTTGAGTCGTTAAATAGATAGTATTTGTCATGTGTTTTATTGGATTAAAAAAGTAATCAGTATCAAATCAAACATTCTAATATCACCCATCAGTAATATCTACATGTCATTTGTATATTTTGTTGTTTTTCTTTAACATGATATACACATATTGTGATATGTTTCCACTGAAAGACTAGCAGTTGTGAGGAGCTGATCTGAACCTGAACTNNNNGAACTTTGTACTCCATAAATGACAGCAACACATTCTATGCAGCTGCAGAAATGACTTTAATTTGCAGAATGGATGAGTTGAGCCGCTGCTCCAGGTAAGCTCTCTCTCCCTCCATATGATGAAGATGTCGGCCAGATGTCTCCCAGTGGAGTTATTTCTAGCAGACCTGCAGGAGACCTCAGACAAGCTGAAAGAATCAGAATATAAATTCAAGCTGACCCAACAATGCTTCAGGGTCGCCTCAGGAGGTGCTGAAGGTTTGAAATGAAGGACGTCAAAATAAGACTCTGCTGCTGTCCACGAAGGTGAGCACAAATTGGCAGAAAATAAACACAGACCAGTGATTATAAATATGATTGACTACGATGTGAGCTAACAAGGCACTGTTCACCCTCCATATATTCTAGACTTGACATGATTTTCCATTAATTGTCTGTGCTTTTAGGTGCCTGACAAAAACATCATAAATATATGCTTTCAGTGGCTGGTTGATCTTCCTGATGCTGCAGAGCAGAGCCTAATTCAGAGGTAATAAACTTACACAGAAATACTTATGAAAACAATTTGGAACTCTAAACTCTCCTAGACCTGTACATCTGTGGGTTTTTATATCTTTCTTCTGTCTCCTTGTTTTTTCATGGTTCTCCCAGCAGGCTTCTGCCCACTTGCTTCCTATTCCTGGCTGTCCCTGCTCTCACATCAGCCTGGACTTTTACCAGTTTCTTATCTACTCCCCTACACAGCTCGACTGCTTAAAGGCCTCTCTGGAATATTACCCACCTGTTTTCTTTGAAGGGGAAGAAGATGGCTGTCCCCGCTTTATTGTGAACAAATGCCATATGCCTTTACAGGACGTCCATTTT